GCTTCCAGGCAAGAGCCTGGAAGCTTCCCTGTAGGGAAACAGGCTGGGGCCTGTAGGCCCTGTCAGAAGGAAGCTTCCAGGCAAGAGCCTGGAAGTTTCCCTGTAGGGAAACAGGTTGGGGCCTGTACAGCATGTAACATTGCGCAGGGGCCATGCTAATCTTCTCTGTATCGTTCCAATTTTAACAGATGTCCCGAAGGACTGCTTCTTCTTCTTCTTTGTATAGTTCCGACCATTTCTCAATGTATGCGTGTGTCATCCTTGTGCAGTGGCCATGCTAATCTTCTCTGTATCATTCCATTCTTTTACAGTTGCCCTGAGGGACATCTCCCATCCCTTCTTAATAGGCTCCTCTTCTTCTCCCTCCTCTCTGAGGGAACCTCCATTCCTCGTATTGTTCCTCTCTCGTCTCCCAGCTTTCCTCCTCCACTTTCTCTCCTCGTTGTGTCCTCCTCCTCCTGGAGTTGCCTCCGCTCCCCTCTATCCTCTCTTATCCTCCAGTTTTCCTCCTCTGTCTCCCCTCCTCCTCTTGGAGTTGCCTGAACTTGCCTCCACCTTCCCACCTCCCCACCTCCCTTCCTCCTCTCTTCTTCCTGCTTTTCCTTCCCTACTCCTCCTCCTCCTCCTCCTCCTCCTCCTGCTGCTGCTGCTGCTGCTGCTGCTGCGATTGCCGCAGTCCTGTGGTTGCTGCCACTGCTGCTCACCACAGAAAGTCCTACTGTCTTTACCCTAATGGAACGCCTGCTCATTATGGCTGTATCTAGACTGAAAGCTGCCCTTTTTTTCCCCTTTATTTCGGGGGCATCCTACCCCTTTCTGAGACCCCCTCCCACCTTTCCTCTCCTCAATCCTCCGCGTCGCACCCTACTCCCTCAGTGTCTACCACTCAGGACCATCACCCTTCGTATGATCATGGCGGGATGACCTAACCGGACAGTGGTTGTAGGCACTAGGGCTGAGCAGAAACCCCAGTCAGCCGTGGTTGAAGCATGGCCGAACAAGTCCTGTCACATGGGTACTTCAGGCAGTAGGCAAAAGCGGCACTAGGCATAAGCGTTCTTTCTACAGGTCCCATGGGTAGACCCCTACTTGTCCCCCAAACTTACCCATTGCATGGATCTAGCCGTGCATACACAGATAACACAGGCGGTGTCTGATGGTTCCCCCTAGCCAAGGCCCAAGGTCTAATCTATGACGCCCTCAGAGGAACCTGTGTATGCCCACCTAGCACAGCTGTTATCCGTTATTCTGGTTGTTTCTAATTACGACCTAGCGGTTCTAGCCTATTAACAGTAGATGTACAACCACCGTCCGCCTCTCTAGCTTAAACGTCTCCTAGACCCCTCTGCAGCAGCATTTTGTAGTTGTACGGTATTTTGTTCTGAATCTGGAGGTACCCTAGCCTCTGTCATTAATTGGTCCAAGGCCATCATCCCTCCCCTTACCTCGGTCATCAACTACACCCCTCCAGCCTGTTACAGTTGTATGCAGTAATCACCCAAAGCAGTACTGGGGTCTCAGTCATCGGTAGCGACTAAGCCACCATCTGTTCCTCGTACCTCTATTATCAACTGGGCCTACTCTGGCCCTGTTAGTCGACATGAGAAGCAGACAATCCCACCTCTATGTAACCCCAGGACTGCCCCTACCGGACCCCCTTGCCTAACCCTTGTATCCCATGCTGCAAGCCCCCCGTCCAAGGGGAAGTTAGCTGAACCCCCCAGAAAGTCCCTGCTGACGGGACACCCTACACTATCTCACCTGCGGCCACCAAAGCCCTAATGTAACCAAGTACGTGATATCCCTCGACTACATCCCTGCTTGCATCCCAGCTATCTCCATACCATGTGATGTACCGGCCTGATCAGGCTCGAACCTTGAACCTCTAACATACAGCACCTAGCTAGAGCCCGCTGAGCTACGATGTTAACTGACCTATGTATACACTGTTTACAGCACCTAGCTTGATCCCGGTGAGCTACGATATTAACTGATCTAAGTATATGCTGTATTACGGTGGGGGAAAAGTATGTGGAGTGACAACCTAGCACCAACTGATTGTGGGCATGGGAGGTTGAGGGCCGACATGATTTAATCCACAACCTCCCCGTTGCAACGCCAGAGCTCTAACCCACTGAGTGTCCATGTGTGGAAGTTTTAGATACAGCACCTGGACTGAAAGGTGCCCTAGTAATGCACAAAATATGGCCTCATCTTTTTAGGTAGTCTAAAGGCATACT